CAACTTCTGCAAAATTCAGATGAGCTAGATGATCCAGAAATTTATTCAAATGTAGGCAAATTTTCACTTACACCTTTCATTTCTGCTTTGAAAGCAATGAACGAAATTGTGGATTTTTGTTGTTCTATGTCACCACCCGGCCAGGATTTAGATAAATTCATTAAAGAATTGAAAAAGCTTATGCCAGTACAAAAGTTTCTGTGACATTGAAAATTCACGTAATTTTTGAACATCTTGAGCATTCCTTGCATTTTTTGGATGGCGAGGAATTTTGATTGTGGTCGGAGCAGCCAGGTGAATCAGTTCATAGAGACTTCTTAAACGTTTGGAACCGCTACAAAATCAACGTGAAGGAAGAACCAAGAAAGATTAAGAAGAATGGTCGTAGAATACTCCTCCATGCATATTTAAAATTTACATTGTATATTAAAATATACAATATTTAGTTAAAATAAATTTTTTGGTTCAAACCAAATCGTTATTTTTATTATTCTTGTATCATTTTATTACTCTTGTATCATTTTATAGTAATTATCAGTTATTTTTCAATTCCATAACTATTTTTTCGTACTTATAAAATACATTCAGACCTGTTCTGCATTTCGACTCGACTTGAAAAGTAAAACGACACACATCCCGACTAATTTTTGTGGTGGTGTTCTCAATTCCGATTGAGTTCGAATAAGTTCGAAATCGTTTTCGAATCGTTTTCATTTCGATTCGGTAATAAGTTGCAACAGCTGTTGTCAGTTATTTATTTGTGTAAAAATTAATTCAAATCTGTATAAATCTGAAAAAATGCCAGTGCCAATGATTTTTGGGTGTGTCCAGACCAGAAGACTTGCTATTGCATGCCCAAAACGAAAAAATGCAGCTAAGGATTCATGTGGACATGTTCCAAAAGTTGTACTCCAAGAAAGTTTACCCTTCAATGTAATTTTCTTTATCTAACTCGATCTGTAGATAACTTTTAGGTTTATAGGATCTTATCGCATAAATAAAGATGTTTTCAAAATGCTGTTAGACAAAAACAAACAAAAAATTGGTTAACGGAGAGGCATCGTTTTATTTCACCGAAACGCAACTCCGGTTTTTAGTAACAGGTTCCTATCAGTTAGGAGTAGCTAAAGACCAAGATATAACATTGGCAGAAGCACTTTTTCTAAGACTTTAAGGATCCATACACCAGGAAAGCTTTATTTATCTCTTTAGTACGATCAAAACTAGAGTACGCTTCTATTATATGGAACCCCATTTACGGCTGTCATGCCGCCAGACTCGAAAGAGTGCAGAGAAAATTTGTTCGTTTTGCGTCAAGTTCCCTTAACTTTGATGACCCGATGCCCTCATATTTTTCCTGTTGTAAACTTATTCACCTACAAACTCTTGAAACTAGAAGAATTGTCCAGTTGCTCATGTTCGTTTTTGATTTGGTTTTTTGGCTCTTTGGATTGTTCGGTCCTTCTGGAGAAGATATCCTTTAATGTGCCTCACAGATTTCTACGCTCATCTCTGCCGTTTTACTTGCGTGCTACTAAGGCTAACTATTACCATTTTGATCCGATTTTCCGCGCTCTGACAGAATTTAACAAGATCTCATAGTCTAAATATTGATTTTTCGTTGCCGAGAAATATTTTCAAATCATCCATTGATTCATTTTTCTTATAACTACTTGTGTATCTAAATCTATAGTATTTAGTGTTAATTATGATAGTCTTATTTTTATCTAGTCTGTAAGATTGTAATCATAGAATAAATAAACTGAATAAACTAAAAACTAAAACTAAACTAAAAAAAAACTAAATTAACAAAAAAATAAAGATAAAAAAGTAATTAAAAATATTTATAGATCGAAAAAAGTAATTGTTGAAAAAAACTACCAACTACTTCATTCGGAATGGATTTTGAAATCATGAAATAGCTGGGAAAAGATGCAGGGAACCGTTTTATTAGGCATTTTCATTCAACTTCCTTTGGATTGAGGATAGGTGTGCAAAAAGTAGAAAATAATATGTCTATATGAATTTGTTTTGATAACTTTTGATTTTGAAATTTTATTTTTTTTTTGAAAGCGTGGGGCGCATGCAATACAAAGCATGATACAAATATTTAAAGATAAAACCGCTCGCTCAATTCGTCCGCCATTGGGGTTTTTTGACGTTTGCTAGCATTTTGAGTTTTCTCCCGCGAAATGCTTCTAATGTCAAAGCAATTCAAAATAAACAAATGTAAATTTATGATTTGAAATATCAATTTATTCAGAAGTTGGAAAAACTAAAAAATTTCGAAACGAACAATGAGTTGCTGCTTTAACGGCTGCGCAAATACTGTTGTCCACTGCAAGCAGACCAACATCAAGTTTTTTAAGTCCCCGCAATTATCGTATATGCGGCAAAAATGGATCGAGGTTTGTTGTGTTATAGAAGCGGATTTGCCAAAGTGCCCGTATGTGTGCTCGGCTCATTTTTTGCCACACCACTTGACCCAATGTAAGCACAAGGTCATTCTTTGCAAGAGTGCTGTGCAGCGGCGGATCCAGAATTTTCTGATGGTGATGCCCCTTATTCTAATTACCTTAAACGAGCAATTTTTATGTATATGTATATGTATCCATAAGTTTCTCGGCAACGGCTCTAACGTAGCAAAATGAAAAATCGTTTAAAAAAGACTTTCGAAGTTGTATTTCTTCCAATTGTCAAAAACTTTTGGGAATTTTAGGTTTTATTTTATTAAAGTTTATTAAATGTATCAAAAATGGCTTTTTACTAATACGCGAATTTACATGTGTTGTTCACTGCATGACTATCAAAAATGGAATGTCATGTTCGTCAAGTGTCAGTCTTCTTTCTCCTGTTGTTCGTAGCCGAATTAAGGTTGTCATCGAACAGTGTTTTCAGCGTGGTCGCCACAGTGCTGCCCCCTAGACTTTACGTCCTAAATCGGACGGGAAGTCTGATTTTTCGACCATGCCGTGTTGTGGGAGTGTCTTGGGGTAAAATCGGCTGAGTTGATGTGGCAAGATGTCGCTGAGATGGAGTAATCGTGTTCGTGGTAGACTCTTGCGCTGGTTTCGACGGTTGAGTCGGCGTTTGCGGTGGATCGTCGATATTATCATATTCGATGAACGCCGGTTTAAGCCTGTCGATGGAGATTTTGATTTTATCGCGGTTTATTTGAACAGTGAAGTGCTTATTTTGTCTAGACACTACAAGATATGGTCCATCATACGGTGGTTGAAGCACCGCCCGTATCTTGTCGTTTCGCACAAACACATGAGTTGCGTCCGCTAGCTGCTTGAATACGAATGGTTTGGTTTTGTCGTGGTTTGCTGTGAGGGGTGGACGTATGTCTTGCATTACCTCGGCAAGTTGTTTTGCGAACTCGGACTGCGGTTGAGGACGACATTCGTCAAAAAACTCTTCCGGAATGCGTAGTGTCGTGTCGTAGACGAGTTGAGCGGCTGTTGTACCGATGTCCGGCTTAAATGCAGAGCGCAAACCGAGCATGATCATCGGTAATCGATTTGGCCAATCATACCTTTTTTGGCACATGATGGATGCATTTGAGCGATCGATGCCATCGTTCCACGATGCCATTTGCTTGTGGGTGATACGCTGTCGTACGGAGGTGAGTGATGCCGAGCATACGAGACAATTCGTTGAACAAGTGTGACTCGAATTGCCTGCCTTGGTCGGTAGTTATGCGCGCTGGAATGCCAAAACGTGCAAACCAGATACTTACAAGTTTTTTTCGCGACCGTCTATGCTGCCATGTCCCTGAGCGGTACTGCCTCTGGCCATCGAGTGTATCGGTCGACAATTGTGAGACAGTACAGGTATCCCCCGGCCTGTGGGAGAGGACCAATGAGGTCTATATTGATGTGCTCGAACCTCTGCGAGGGTAACGCTATTGTTTGTAGTGGTGAGTGAATAAAACACCAGGAGGCGCCGGAGTCGAGTTATTACTCAATATTCGTATTTGTGATCCGATTTGACTCATATTCGAGATATATATGTAATGGTAACGATAGGGGCAATACTATTCTAAAACAGGATATGCAAGGTGGCACTAGGGCCGATTTATTGCTAAAAATCGTCAAGTGCAGTCATTCGGAGGCACCAGGGATCAAAGTCAAATTACCACCGTTAAATCAACCATCAGGACCACTGCGGTCCTTGCTTTACGGAGACTAAACAGAATAAAGACAATTCTTGATGAACGCTTAAAATTATAAGATATTAAGGTATTGGATTTCAGAGGACCAATGATATTTTCCAGTTTGGAAATTGCAACCAACTATACTATACAGATTCAAAGACAATTCACCATCGAACAGGAACATTGTTGACCTAAAGACTTCTTCCCAGTTATTTAATATGGCAATGAAGGATATGCCTTATGTCGACCACAAAACCAAACGTGAACGTGAATTGCTGGCGAAAACGTTAAACCAAATGTTTAAATGAAAAAATTATTTTTGGGCGGGACGAAGTTCGCCGGGTCTGCTAGTTACATAGAAACAACTAGCCCACTTTAATAGTTTTTGTAGGGCAAATTTGATGAATTGAAACTTTGTTTTCTAAGAATTACACAAATTAAATAGACATTTTTAAAAAGTGGTGTATTGTTTATCACAGTGGTGTGCCAAAACGCTGAAAATAATGTATTTGGCATAGAAAACGATGCTCTTTTTTATGAAATAAAAACAACTAATATGTGATGAGGGAAGTAGCTAGAGTAATGTGTGAAAATTAGGCGTTTTTTCTTAAAAATATATGAACAAAGTCGAACTTTTTTGGACAATCTAAACACTGTACTGTCATGTACGTTTTTAAATTTTCTTTTGAGTTTCTTCAAGATTCCTACTTTTAAATACTGCTTAAGCCAGGCTTTGCACGACCTTGCAACAATGTCAAATTCCATATTATATCAAGCAGAGTCTGAACGAAAAAATGGTCATAGATAGTTACCCAAGAGTTGCGACTGATAAAGCAGATGAAAGTTCACATTCCGAATGTGACATTTCGCAGACATAACTAAAAAAAATGTATATATAAAAACAAATATGTAGTTATAAGTTATATATTAATTAAAAAATAATTGAATATATTAAACAACTTTACATACAAACTTGAAATTGCGTTTTTTTGCAGTGTAAAGCTTTAAAACTATTTAAACTGTAAAAACGTTTTTCGATTACATTCGTCTCAGCGCCCTTGGGAAGGTTAAAAACTATATTTCGAACATCTACATGAACTCCGCTTTCTCTTCATCAGAATCGGTAGAAGTTAAGAAAGTACCTCGAAGGTGTTCACACGGGTTTTGTCAGGACTGGGCCAAAAATCAATTTTTTGCATCACACGTTTGGGTACCAAGTATTCAAAAGATGAAGCAAATGGGACCATAAATAGGATTCTTTAGGATAGCTCTCAATCCCTGAGCCCTCTATCGGAAGAAAAATCCTTGTAAAAACCTTTCCACAAAATAACAATCATTCAATGCAATTTTGAAATCTGGGAAAAAATTCTTCCTAATTGAATGGTTCTTGCCATTTTCTGACTTGTAGATATAGGTGTATAACCTCTCTCATAAGTAGTTCCAGAGATAAGCGATATGGAAATTGCATTTGGTATGCGAGGTGCCACATCCCCCTTTCTAATACAAACTACTTTTCATCATAAAAGCGATATTCCATAGATAAGCGATATTTGAAATTCGGTTTGTATGGGAGATGCTACGCCCCCTTTTCCAAAACCTACAATTTTTCGCCATAAGTACGGTATTGTTAACATATGTAGCTGTTTCAAAATTCAGGATGTTAGCAAAAGCGGAAAGGATGTTAGTTAAGCGATTGAGAATTTCAGTTTGTATGTTCCATTACTTACCACTTTTCGCCATAAGTACGAAATTGATAACATATGTAGCTGTTTTAAATTGCAGAACGTTAGCATAAGCGATTCCTGGAACTGGAGCGAACTGGAAGTGCCACTCCCCCTTTTCTAATACCTATTATTTTTCGCCGTAAGTAGGGTATTTACAATTTATGCATCCGTGCTAAGTTTCAGTTAACCAGCGCGATTGGTTGTAGAGATACATCAGTTTTTACATTATAGTCTGTATGTCAGATGCCACGCCCCCTGTATAATGGGGTTAACATTTCTGGATTAGAGGAAGTTATATCCTTTCAAGAAAACGGTGCCCTCAAAAAAGGGGGTTCAAAATTTTATTGTGGCGTATTTATATATAGATACGTTCAATATACCGTTTTTGCTACAAATTCTCCTTAAAGGACCTCTGGTGTCATCTAATCGATCCTTGATGAAGGTAAACTTTTGTATGGCCACTTTTTACAACAAATCTAAGCACCTGAAGCAATAAAATATTTTTTTTCCGGCTAACTTGTATGAGGCGGCCCACTGTGCGGTGTGTTCTTAATATATATCCAAATACATAATTATATACAAAAAATGCTTATACACATGAATAAATACATATAATTAGTTTATACTTTTTTTGTGTATTACAGGCTGCCTAGACAATAACAGAAATTACCGAAAACACAGTCACGCGCGAGAAGTAAATCTAGGCCACAGGACGGTGCTATCAACAACGATTTGTTTGACAGGACATCGCTAATATCCTTTTAACTTTAATAAGTGTTTAAGTATGTACCTTCAAAAGCATCCTCTGCTTGTGGTATCACAATTTGTAGCAGGAAACTATTAAGAAAATATTACATAATAGCTGCCATTCGCACAACAATCTTCGGTATAAAATGTAAGCATTTGATTAGTAATCTCCATCAACTGGCTTTGGAAACAAATTTAAACATTTATAATGGAAAACATCTTAAAGCAAAAATTATTAAAGATCAATGAGCAAAAAATTCTATTGGAGCAGTGTTAAAGAGTTATCTTTCGCTGAGATTCTAAAATTTATAACAGAACTGCAACAACTAAAAAGCCGTATAACTAACAAAAATAGCAACAGTAATATTATTGATGATGTATTAACAGTGTAATGGAAAGCCTAACAATTCTTCAAAAAAAATGGAGTTGCACAGCCTTTTTAAGGCCATCCTGATCGTTTACGCCATTGAAGGTTAGTTTATGACCTTGAATTTTATGAAATACTTCTTTTTGTGATTTTGCATTTAAAATATGTATTTACGATTTTTTATTTCTTTAAATGCCACATGTTCATGCATAGATATTAATTAAGTAAATAAAATAAACTTATTTCACAAAGATGGAACTAATATTAAAGTCCCTCTGTCGTCCATTTGGAGCGTTTGGGATGTGTTGCTATAAATTCAGGTGCACGCAATTTTTACACAAATCCTTTGCGATCCACAAATGATCCACATTTTTTTGGAAAAGAAACACGGTTCCCGGAACGATGTATTTTTTCTAACTGTCAGGTACCTCCGATTTTCTTCTTTGAATGTTAGTCTGGGATGCTAAAAAGTCAGGCCAATTGTATTTTAAATCATGCTCTCGTGACATCGAAATTCCAATAAAACCTGAAAAAAAAAGTTTTTATGCCAAGAAAATATAAATGGTGGTTATATGTATCAGGGATGAAAAAGTAGGTACCATTGTACCATTTTCCGACGTTTGTTGACCTAAAGGTACATTAGGTACAGTCACTGGATTTTAGGTACAATCATCTTTTGATCAGATGCATTTTTAGCTTTTTTTCTTTTACCTTTACCGTGCTAATATATTTACTTATAGGCACGGGAGAAGCTTCGCCTTTATTTTGAAGAATAAACAATTCTAAAGGAAAAGTGGTCAAAAGGAATAAGTGAAAAAAATTTTCAAATGCGACTAAAAAATGGTATTTTGATTGATTTAGATCAGAATAGGCCTTCAGGCGTGTACATGCGCTGCTAAAGCGGCTATTTGTAAGATTTTGGCCCATAATATCAACGATAAAGGTATGGATAAAGGAAAGAAAATTGTGTCAAAATATGACATAATGAAAACTAGCCTTTATTCGCCCATACAGTCCAGTGTCTAGGATGTCTTCAAATTTCATATTTTCTTTAGTTGAGAACTATATCTATTTGACCCATATCCGCTTTTCGATTTCTGAAAATATACTATTTAAAATGCTTTCTAAGTTAATTACGGCAGTTTGATTATTTTCTCTAGACTTCCTGCACTTATTAAAATGAATCGGTTAAATTAGAAGACTTTTCCTGTTGTTTTATAGAAGTTTAGTAGTCAAAACTAGACAAAAACAACGCTTCTTTGATTCCCATTAGACTACAGTCTATAGACATAGGCTCAATTAAAAAAACCTAATCACCTTTAAAGTACATTCATCTTTTGTATTCAAGTTTTAAATAAAATTAATAAAAAAAAACTACAAATGAACGATGTAACTTTTATTAGGTACAATCTGAAATTTCCATTTTTAATTTCACTAATGTGTATATTCAAGAGTTGCTGTTGTTGTAGCGGATACAACAACCCCGTCCAGACCGGTTAGTTCTTCAATC